GCTATGTTTGAGCCGTCGACTGGTGACTGGGTGTTGTTGGTGGCATCAGTGCAACTGAGGGACAGAGGGGTCTATGAGTGCCAGATTGGCACCACGCCTCCCAGGAGTCACTTTGTGGCACTGCATATAATTGGTGAGTTATACTTCTATCTCTACCTCTCTCTCTCTCTCTGTCAAATATAGGAAAACACACATTGAGCGCCACATTAAATACGTAAGCACAGGTGTTTGGGTATATGCAAAGGCGTGCAGGTGTAAACACAGATGTACAAGTGTTGATCAGGTGTTGCAAGTGAAGCTTCTCGCCTTGATTGCAGAGCCTCGTACGGAGATCCTGGGAGGAGACGACCTGCATATAAACACAGGTTCAACCATTAATCTGACCTGCCTGGTGCTGTACCATGCTCGCTCCCCTCATGCTATCACCTGGCACCATGAGGGCAAGGTAAGCGTCCCCTCCCTTCCCCTCACCTGGCATGGTGAACTTCCCCTCATCTCCCCTCACCTGGCATGGTGAACTTCCCCTCATCTCCCTTCACCTGGCAAGGCGAACTTCCCCTCATCCCCCCCCCCTTAGCTGACATGGTGAACTTCAGCTCATCTCCCCTCACCTGGCAAAGTGAAATTCCCCTCATCCCCCTCTTTCCCTAGCAAGACCCTCCTTCAGTTACACAGATCCTCCTTCAGTAACACAGATCCTCCTTCAGTAACACAGACCCTCCTTCAGTTACACAGATCCTCCTTCAGTAACATAGATCCTCCTTCAGTTACACAGATCCTCCTTCAGTAACACAGATCCTCCTTCAGTTACACAGATCCTCCTTCAGTTACACAGATCCTCCTTCAGTAACATAGATCCTCCTTCAGTAACACAGACCCTCCTTCAGTAACACAGACCCTCCTTCAGTAACACAGACCCTCCTTCAGTAACACAGACCCTCCTTCAGTTACACAGACCCTCCTTCAGTAACACAGACCCTCGTTCAGTTACACAGATCCTCCTTCAGCAACACAGATCCTCCTTCAGTTACACAGACCCTCCTTCAGTTACACAGATCCTCCTTCAGTAACACAGATCCTCCTTCAGTTACACTGACCCTCCTTCAGTTACACAGATCCTCCTTCAGTAACACAGATCCTCCTTCAGTTACACAGACCCTCCTTCAGTTACACAGACCCTCCTTCAGTTACACAGACCCTCCTTCAGTTACACAGACCCTCCTTCAGTAACACAGACCGTCCTTCAGTTACACAGACCCTCCTTCAGTTACACAGACCCTCCTTCACTAACACAGACCGTCCTTCAGTTACACAGATCCTCCTTCAGTTACACAGACCCTCCTTCAGTAACACAGACCCTCCATCAGTTACACAGACCCTCCTTCAGTAACACAGACCATCCTTCAGTTACACAGACCCTCCTTCAGTTACACAGACCCTCCTTCAGTAACACAGATCCTCCTTCAGTTACACAGACCGTCCTTCAGTAACACAGACCGTCCTTCAGTTACACAGACCCTCCTTCAGTTACACAGACCCTCCTTCACTAACACAGACCGTCCTTCAGTTACACAGATCCTCCTTCAGTTACACAGACCCTCCTTCAGTAACACAGACCCTCCTTCAGTTACACAGACCCTCCTTCAGTAACACAGACCATCCTTCAGTTACACAGACCCTCCTTCAGCTACACAGACCCTCCTTCAGTAACACAGATCCTCCTTCAGTTACACAGACCATCCTTCAGTTACACAGACCCTCCTTCAGTAACACAGACCCTCCTTCAGTTACACAGACCCTCCTTCAGTTACACAGACCCTCCTTCAGTTACACAGACCCTCCTTCAGTTACACAGACCCTCCTTCAGTTACACAGACCCTCCTTCAGTAACACAGATCCTCCTTCAGTTACACAGACCCTCCTTCAGTTACACAGACCCTCCTTCAGTTACACAGACCCTCCTTCAGTTACACAGATCCTTCTTCAGTTACGCAGATCCTCCTTCAGTTACACAGACCCTCCTTCAGTTACACAGATCCTCCTTCAGTTACACAGACCCTCCTTCAGTAACACAGACCGTCCTTCAGTTACACAGACCCTCCTTCAGTTACACAGACCCTTCTTCAGTTACACAGACCCTCCTTCAGTTACACAGATCCTCCTTCAGTTACAAAGATCCTCCTTCAGTTACACAGACCCTCCTTCAGTTACACAGATTCTCCTTCAGTTACACAGACCCTCCTTCAGTAACACAGACCGTCCTTCAGTTACACAGACCCTCCTTCAGTTACACAGACCCTCCTTCAGTAACACAGACCCTCCTTCAGTTACACAGACTCTCCTTCAGTAACACAGACCATCCTTCAGTTACACAGACCCTCCTTCAGTTACACAGACCCTTCTTCAGTAACACAGATCCTCCTTCAGTTACACAGACCCTCCTTCAGTTACACAGACCCTCCTTCAGTTACACAGACCCTCCTTCAGTTACACAGAGCCTCCTTCAGTTACACAGATCCTCCTTCAGTTACACAGACCCTCCTTCAGTAACACAGATCCTCCTTCAGTTACACAGACCCTCCTTCAGTTACACAGACCCTCCTTCAGTTACACAGACCCTCCTTCAGTTACACAGACCCTCCTTCAGTAACACAGACCATCCTTCAGTTACACACACCCTCCTTCAGTTACACAGACCCTCCTTCAGTAACACAGATCCTCCTTCAGTTACACAGACCCTCCTTCAGTTACACAGACCCTCCTTCAGTTACACAGACCCTCCTTCAGCTACACAGACCCTCCTTCAGTAACACAGACCATCCTTCAGTTACACAGACCCTCCTTCAGTTACACAGACCCTCCTTCAGTAACACAGATCCTCCTTCAGTTACACAGACCCTCCTTCAGTTACACAGACCCTCCTTCAGTTACACAGACCCTCCTTCAGTTACACAGACCCTCCTTCAGTTACACAGATCCTCCTTCAGTTACACAGACCCTCCTTCAGTTACACAGACCCTCCTTCAGTTACACAGACCCTCCTTCAGTTACACAGACCCTCCTTCAGTTACACAGATCCTCCTTCAGTTACACAGATCCTCCTTCAGTTACACAGACCCTCCTTCAGTTACACAGACCCTGCTTTAGTTACACAGATCCTCCTTCAGTTACACAGATCCTCCTTCAGTTACACAGACCCTCCTTCAGTTACACAGACCCTCCTTCAGTTACACAGATTCTCCTTCAGTTACACAGATCCTCCTTCAGTTACACAGATCCTCCTTCAGTTACACAGACCCTCCTTCAGTAACACAGACCGTTCTTCAGTTACACAGACCCTCCTTCAGTTACACAGACCCTCCTTCAGTAACACAGACCATCCTTCTGTTACACAGACCGTCCTTCAGTTACACAGACCCTCCTTCAGTTACACAGACCCTCCTTCAGTTACACAGACCCTCCTTCAGTTACACAGATCCTCCTTCAGTTACACAGACCATCCTTCAGTTACACAGACCGTCCTTCAGTTACACAGACCCTCCTTCAGTTACACAGACCCTCCTTCAGTTACACAGATCCTCCTTCAGTTACACAGACTCTCCTTCAGTTACACAGACCGTCCTTCAGTTACACAGATCCTCCTTCAGTTACACAGATACTCCTTCAGTAACACAGACCCTCCTTCAGTAACACAGACCCTCCTTCAGTAACACAGATCCTCCTTCAGTTACACAGATCCTCCTTCAGTTACACAGATCCTCCTTCAGTAACACAGATCCTCCTTCAGTTACACAGATCCTACTTCAGTTACACAGATCCTCCTTCAGTAACACAGATCCTCCTTCAGTTACACAGATCCTCCTTCAGTTACACAGACCCTCCTTCAGTTACACAGGCCCTCCTTCAGTAACACAGACCCTCCTTCAGTTACACAGATCCTCCTTCAGTAACACAGACCCTCCTTCAGTTACACAGACCCTCCTTCAGTAACACAGACCCTCCTTCAGTTACACAGACCCTCCTTCAGTTACACAGATCCTCCTTCAGTTACACAGATCCTCCTTCAGTTACACAGACCCTCCTTCAGTTACACAGATCCTCCTTCAGTTACACAGACCCTCCTTCAGTTACACAGACCCTCCTTCAGTTACACAGACCCTCCTTCAGTTACACAGAGCCTCCTTCAGTTACACAGATCCTCCTTCAGTTACACAGACCATCCTTCAGTAACACAGACCCTCCTTCAGTAACACAGACCCTCCTTCAGTTACACAGACCCTCCTTCAGTAACACAGACCCTCCTTCAGTTACACAGACCCTCCTTCAGTTACAAAGACTCTCCTTCAGTTACACAGACCCTCCTTCAGTAACATAGACCCTCCTTCAGTTACACAGACCCTCCTTCAGTAACACAGACCGTCCTTCAGTTACACAGACCCTCCTTCAGTAACCCAGACCGTCCTTCAGTTACACAGACCCTCCTTCAGTAACACAGACCCTCCTTCAGTTACACAGACCCTCCTTCAGTTACACAGATCCTCCTTCAGTTACAAAGATCCTCCTTCAGTTACACAGACGCTCCTTCAGTTACACAGATCCTCCTTCAGTTACACAGACCGTCCTTCAGTTACATAGACCCTCCTTCAGTTACACAGACCCTCCTTCAGTTACACAGACCATCCTTCAGTTACACAGATCCTCCTTCAGTTACACAGATCCTCCTTCAGTTACACAGACCCTCCTTCAGTTACACAGACCGTCCTTCAGTAACACAGACCCTCCTTCAGTAACACAGACCCTCCTTCAGTTACACAGACCCTCCTTCAGTAACACAGACCCTCCTTCAGTTACACAGACCCTCCTTCAGTTACAAAGACCCTCCTTCAGTTACACAGACCCTCCTTCAGTAACATAGACCCTCCTTCAGTTACACAGACCCTCCTTCAGTAACACAGACCCTCCTTCAGTTACACAGACCCTCCTTCAGTAACACAGACCGTCTTTCAGTTACACAGACCCTCCTTCAGTAACACAGACCCTCCTTCAGTTACACAGACCGTCCTTCAGTAACACAGACCCTCGTTCAGTTACACAGACCCTCCTTCAGTAACACAGACCCTCCTTCAGTTACACAGACCCTCCTTCAGTAACACAGACCCTCCTTCAGTTACACAGACCCTCCTTCAGTAACACAGACCGTCCTTCAGTTACACAGACCCTCCTTCAGTAACACAGACCCTCCTTCAGTTACAAAGTCCCTCCTTCAGTTACACAGACCATCCTTCAGTTACACAGATCCTCCTTCAGTTACACAGATCCTCCTTCAGTTACACAGACCCTCCTTCAGTTACACAGACCATCCTTCAGTAACACAGACCCTCCTTCAGTAACACAGACCCTCCTTCAGTTACACAGACCCTCCTTCAGTAACACAGACCCTCCTTCAGTTACACAGACCCTCCTTCAGTTACAAAGACCCTCCTTCAGTTACACAGACCCTCCTTCAGTAACATAGACCCTCCTTCAGTTACACAGACCCTCCTTCAGTAACACAGACCCTCCTTCAGTTACAAAGACCCTCCTTCAGTAACACAGACCCTCCTTCAGTTACACAGACCCTCCTTCAGTAACACAGACCCTCCTTCAGTTACACAGACACTCCTTCAGTAACACAGACCGTCCTTCAGTTACACAGACCCTCCTTCAGTAACACAGACCCTCCTTCAGTTACAAAGACCCTCCTTTAGCTACACAGACCCTCCTTCAGTTATACCAAACCCTCTTTTAGTTATACCAGGCCCTCCTCAATTATACCAGGCCCTCCTCAGTTATACCAGGCCCTCCTCAGTTATACCAGGCCCTCCTCAGTTATACCAGGCCCTCCTCAGTTATACCAGGCCCTCCTCAGTTATACCAGGCCCTCCTCAGTTATACCAGGCCCTCCTCAGTTATACCAGGCCCTCCTCAGTTATACCAGGCCCTCCTCAGTTATACCAGGCCCTCCTTCATTTATACCAGGCCCTCCTCAGTTATACCAGGCCCTCCTCAATTATACCAGGCCCTCCTCAGTTATACCAGGCCCTCCTCAGTTATACCAGGCCCTCCTCAATTATACCAGGCCCTCCTCAGTTATACCAGGCCCTCCTCAATTATACCAGGCCCTCCTCAGTTATACCAGGCCCTCCTTCATTTATACCAGACCGTCCTCGGTTATACAGTAACATCCTTCAGCTGGACTCTGGTCTCCTACAGGAGATACATTACGACTCGTCTAGGGGAGGAGTGAGCATCCTGACGGAGGCTGGAGAGGTGACCAGATCTGCTCTCCTCATACAGCGAGCCACCAGGAAGGACTCGGGAAACTACACCTGCCAGCCCAGGGGCGCAGAACCTGCTACCGCCAGAGTACATGTACTCCACGGTCAGTACATGTACTCCATGCTCAGTTTTCGTACTCCTTCGTCACTCTGTTTATGACTTGATATTTTGCTCACAGTTCTCGTCTTCTCATTCTTTCTTCTTGAATTAATTCTTTTCTTCTTTCCTTCTTCTTTTCTTCTTATTACCCTCCTTCTTTTTCTTCTTAAGTGCATGTACTCTGAGAAGTGTATATACATCTCTCAGTGTATATGCATCTCTCAGTGTATATGTATCTCTCAGTGTATATACATCTCTCAGTGTATATACATATCTCAGTGTATATACATATCTCAGTGTATATACATCTCTCAGTGTATATACATATCTCAGTGTATATACATATCTCAGTGTATTTACATATCTCAGTGTATATACATATCTCAGTGTATTTACATATCTCAGTGTATATACATATCTCAGTGTATTTACATATCTCAGTGTATATACATATCTCAGTGTATATACATCTCTCAGAGTATATACATATATCAATGTATTTACATATCTCACTGTATATACATCTCACAGAGTATATACATTTCTCAGTGCATATACATCTCTCAGTGTATATACATATCTCAGTGTATTTATATATCCCAGTGTATATACATCTCTCAGAGTATATACATCTCTCAGTGTATATACATCTCTCAGTGTATATACATATCTCAGTGTATATACATATCTCAGTGTATATACATCTCTCAGAGTATATACATCTCTCAGAGTATATACATCTCTCAGTGTATATACATATCTCATTGTATATACATCTCTCAGTGTATATACGTATCTCAGTGTATATACATATCTCAGTGTATATACATCTCTCAGAGTATATACATCTCTCAGAGTATATACATCTCTCAGTGTATATACATATCTCAGTGTATATACATATCTCAGTGTATATACATCTCTCAGAGTATATACATCTCTCAGAGATATACATCTCTCAGTGTATATACATATCTCAGTGTATATACATCTCTCAGAGTATATACATTTCTCAGTGTATATACATCTCTCAATGTATATACATATCTCATTGTATATACATATTTCAGTGTATTTACATATCCCAGTGTATATACATCTCTCAGAGTATATACATCTCTCAGTGTATATATATATCTCAGTGTATATACATATCTCAGTGTATATACATACCTCAGTGAATTTACATATCTCAGTGTATATACATATCTCTGTGTATATACATATCTCAGTGAATTTACATATCTCAGTGTATATACATATCTCAGTGTATATACATATCTCAGTGTATATACATATCTCATTGTATATATATATCTCAGTGTATATACATATCTCAGTGTATATACATATCTCAGTGTATATACATATCTCAGTGTATATACATATCTCAGTGTATATACATATCTCAGTGTATATACATATCTCAGTGTATATACATATCTCAGTGTATATACATATCTCAGTGTATATACATATCTCTGTGTATATACATATCTCAGTGAATTTACATATCTCAGTGTATATACATATCTCAGTGTATATACATATCTCAGTGTATATACATATCTCAGTGTATATACATATCTCAGTGTATATACATATCTCAGTGTATATACATATCTCAGTGTATATACATATCTCAGTGTATATACATATCTCAGTGTATATACATATCTCAGTGTATATACATATCTCAGTGTATATACATATCTCAGTGTATATACATATCTCAGTGTATATACATATCTCAGTGTATATACATCTCTCAGTGTATATACACTCAGTATTTACATTAATGTTTATTTTAGCCAGTAAATTACGGTGGTAATGTACAGGTTACATGTAGCCATAATGACCCTGGAGCCGCCAGCAGACTTGTAACCTAACAAGTTAAACCTGACCTAACCTAACCTAGCAAACTAACCAGTATTACACTTACTGACACTTGTGGGTTGTGGAAATGTGCAGTTAGGTTCACCTATATAACCTATACGAACTGTATCGCTGTATACAACAACGTTGTGTTTCCTCTTTATGGTGACTGTATTAATACAGTATCGCACTGTATTAATACAATATCGCACAAATTGTACATATATATTCATATAAACACCTGTTAAACACTTGTGTGTATTCATATACTCTTGAACACGAGGTATACAATAAACTAGCCACTACCATCCACAGGATGGATATGAGGTACACAATAAACTAGCCACTACCATCCACAGGATGGATATGAGGTACACAATAAACTAGCCACTACCATCCACAGGATGGATATGAGGTACACAATAAACTAGCCACTACCATCCACAGGATGGATATGAGGTACACAATAAACTAGCCACTACCATCCACAGGATGGATATGAGGTACACAATAAATTAGCCACTACCATCCACAGGATGGATATGAGGTACACAATAAACTAGCCACTACCATCCACAGGATGGACATGAGGTACACAATAAACTAGCCACTACCATCCACAGGATGGATATGAGGTATACAATAAACTAGCCACTACCATCCACAGGATGGATATGAGGTACACAATAAACTAGCCACTACCATCCACAGGATGGATATGAGGTACACAATAAACTAGCCACTACCATCCACAGGATGGATATGAGGTACACAATAAACTAGCCACTACCATCCATAGGATGGATATGAGGTACACAATAAACTAGCCACTACCATTCACAGGATGGATATGAGGTACACAATAAACTAGCCACTACCATCCACAGGATGGACATGAGGTACACAATAAACTAGCCACTACCATCCACAGGATGGATATGAGGTACGCAATATACTAGCCACTGATTAGCCCAATACTCCAGTTTTCCAATCCAAACAGTGCCAGTATCCAAGCATTACAAAGAGGCACAATCATTTTCAGTACACATACTTTCCAATACACCAGTGCCAGTCTGAAAGCGTGCTCAGGAGGCACTGTCTGGCCTAATAATTCGGAATACTAATCTATCAGTGCCAGTCTCAGTGTATCCCCCAAGGCAATTACCATGCTCAGACCTTCGTTCATTGGTATATATGATGCAGTTTTTACTGCAGCAACCTGGGTATACAATATACAAGCCTTTCTATACAGTATACAAGCTTGTGTTATACAATATATAAATCAACGAATGCAACACACAAATCAACGGGTACAACACACAAATCAACGGGTACAACACGCAAATCAACGGATACGATACACAAATCAACGGAAACAACACACAAATCGACATATACAACACACAAATCAGCGTATACAACACACAAATCAACGGATACAACACACAAATCAACGGCCACAAGACACAAATCAACGGAAATAACACATAAATCAAAGAATACAACACACAAATCGACACATACAACACACAAATCGACGTATACAACACACAAATCGTCGTACACAACACACAATTCCACGACTATAAAGGAAATTCGTAACTGGATGCTCGAGGATACTGTGAAAGTGTTTATGTTAATGTGTTGCGAAGGCTGTTTGTGTTGCCAGTGTTGTTGTTGTGGTGTTACTGATGCTTTGCCTATATTCCAACTGGTATATCCCTCTTCTTGCAGGTCGTGTATTCCCGTCTCTAGTCGTGTAGCACTGTTTCTGGTCGTGTAGTTCTGTTCCTGGTCGTGTAGTTCTGTTTCTTGTCGCATATTCCTGTTTCTGGTCGTGTAGTTCTGTTTTTGGTCGTGTAGCTCTGTTTTTGGTCGTGTAGTTCTGTTTCTGGTCGCATATTCCGTTTCTGGTCGTGTAGTTCTGTTCCTGGTCGTGTAGTTCTGTTCCTGGTCGTGTAGTTTTGTTTCTGGTCGTGTAGTCCTGTCCCTGGTCGTGTAGTTCTGTTCCTGGTCGTGTAGTTCTGTTCCTGGTCGTGTAGTTCTGTTCCTGGTCGTGTAGTTCTGTTTCTGGTCGTGTAGTTCTGTTCCTGGTCGTGTAGTTCTGTTTCTGGTCGTGTAGTTCTGTTTCTGGTCGTGTAGTTCTGTTTCTGGTCGTGTAGTTCTGTTTCTGGTCGTGTAGTTCTGTTTCTGGTCGTGTAGTTCTGTTTCTGGTCGTGTAGTTCTGTTTCTGGTCGTGTAGTTCTGTTTCTGATCGTGTAGTTCTGTTTCTGGGTCGTGTAGTTCTGTTTCTGGTCGTGTAATCCTGTTTCTGGTCGTGTAGTTCTGTTTCTGGTCGTGTAGTTCTGTTTCCGGTCGAGTAGTTCTGTTTCTGGTCGTGTAGTTCTGTTTCTGGTCGTGTAGTTCTGTTTCTGGTCGTGTAGTTCTGTTTCTGGTCGTGTAGTTCTGTTTCTGGTCGTGTAGTTCTGTTTTGGTCGTGTAATCCTGCTTCTGGTCGTGTAGTTCTGTTTCTGGTCGTGTAGTTCTGTTTCTGGTCGAGTAGTTCTGTTTCTGGTCGTGTAGTTCTGTTTCTGGTCGTGTAGTTTTGTTTCTGGTCGTGTAGTCCTGTCCCTGGTCGTGTAGTTCTGTTTCTGGTCGTGTAGTCCTGTTTCTGGTCGTGTAGTTCTGTTTCTGGTCATGTAGTCCTGTTTCTGGTCGTGTAGTTCTGTTTCTGGTCATGTAGTCCTGTTTCTGGTCGTGTAGTCCTGTCTCTGGTCGTGTATTCCTCTTCTTGGTGGTATATTCCTGTCACTGCAGGTCGTATATTCCTACTGCAGGTCGTATATTCCTACTGCAGGTCGTATATTCCTGGCAACATCTATCATAGAATGAAAATTACAAAACTGTCGTAAATTTTCATGTGAACTTAAATATGCTGATAGAACACCTCTCTCTCTCTCTCTCTCTCTCTCTCTCTCTCTCTCTCTCTCTCTCTCTCTCTCTCTCTCTCTCTCTCTGTCTCTCTCTCTCTCTCTCTCTGTATTATGGGTGTGTTGCGTGTTTTTGTTGTGTCTGTGCTGTAAGTCTAGAGTGGGCATGACGTGTGTGCGTGTGTGTGTGTGTGTGTGTGTGTTGTGTGTGTGGTGTGTGTGTGTGTGTGTGTGTGTGTGTGTGTGTGTGTGGGGGTGTGTGTGTGTGTGTGTGTG